CCAGCTTTGGATCCCTTGGTAAATCCATGCCTGATTAAACATCCTTACCACTCTGGACATTTGCTGAACTCTGTCATAGCTCTTGCATCAGTAACAGTCAGCCAGTGTTTATGCAATTATGTTCCTAACTTACATGAGTAAATTGCATTTAATAACAGCACTTGGGTATTTTGTGCATGTTGGTTGCTGAACATTATAACTTGTCTTACAAAGGGTTATTCTAACGGAGGTTCTAACTGGCCATGCCATTGTGTTGCCTGTATGTTTTATTTATAATAATAATTTAAATAAAAAATATGATGCAATTCTGAACATATATTAAAACCAGCTCCCAGTTATATATCTTTTCATATTACAATGCAGTCATATTCTTAGTTTGCTCTCACCCAAACTTCTCATGCAGTTACACTTTAATATGAAAAGAAATGTTGTCAAGAGTAGTTATTATCACACATCAGAATATTGTATTAGCATTCACTTTTAATAGAATAAAATGAAAGATTTTGAAATCTTCCCTTAATGATACTGAAGGATCTTGGAGACACATTGAGAAGGCTTTAGATGAAATGTCATATGATATATATACATCATACATAGGTTCATAAAAGACAGTTCATTTAACTGCCTGCCTTTGTGTTTCATCTGTTCTGTTTGGATGAATCATCCACAGGTTAAGTGACACTTGTGCAGTTTCTTTGCTTGAAATCGAGAACAGTGCGTGGCAGGGAAGTTTAGGGGGGACAAGATTCTTGTAGACGTGGGATGATGAGTAAAATAAGACGATTTTGGAGGCATGGAGTATAACCTGGAAAAAAAAAATCTGGTGGTTGGAGGCATCTTCGGGTCATATCGGTCGATCTTTTGACTCAGTAACTGATCCGGAAACGTTGCTTGAACTGATGTTGCATAAATCACATCATTAGTAAAGCTGAATTCAAGGTGGACATAGTAGGAGTTAAAGTATCCTGGAGGAGAGTTGTTGAGAGATGTGCTGCAGAGCCAGCATGTTACAAAGCAGTGTAGAAAAAGTGAAATGATTCAGTGTTCACCTGTGGGGTTTAGGAGCTTGTTTTGGAAGCTTCTGATACACTTGGGGAAAAAAACAACAGTAGAACCTTCCAGTTGATTAAATCGTTGGCATTTTTTTCTCAGTTTATTGTTTCAATGTGGGATAGTCACATTTGGGCAGGGTGGGCACAGATACAATGCACTGTATCGGTGTCTCTGAACTTTTTGTTATTGAAGGCTTGTGTACTGTTTTGGGGTTTTTTTGGCTGGGGTGGGATGTACAGGTAGTTTGTATTCCACGCTTTGGTAGTTGGGAAAGGGGATGATGGATAAACAATTCAGCATTGAAGTAAACATTTTTGAGGGGGGATCTTATTAATGCTTATAAATACTTAAAGGGAGGATGCCAGGGGGATGGGAGCAGTCTTTTTTCAGTAGTGCCCAGTGATAGAACAAGAGGTAACGGGCACAAACTTGAACATAGGAAGTTCCATCTTAAGATGAGGGTGGCAGAGCACTGGCACAGGCTGCCCAGAGCAGTTGTGGAGTCTCCCACTGTGGAGACATTCAAAACCCGCCTGGACGCCATCCTGTGCAACCTGCTGTAGGTGACCCTGCTCTGGCAGGGGGGTTGGACTAGATGATCCCCAGAAGTCCCTTCCAACCCTGACCATTCTGTGATTTTGTCTTCTGCTGACAATAGCTCCTGTAGGAAGTGCATGTGTATATGCTTCGTCATTTGAGTTTACGGGTGTTTTTCAGGCTCACATCTGAAGTCTTAGGAAATGCCAAGAAGCCATGCACCTCACTGCACTAGACTGAGGGTAGATAATAATTTATATAGCTGTAAATGTAGTACAAATACTAACATGGCAACAGTGTTAGTGTCAGCTAATACATTTCTTGCAAATATAAACACTACAAAAAATACACATTGCCTCAAATATTATTGAACTATACAACATATTACACAATTTCTTACACATACTTCTAACAAGCAGATGCTAAATATTGCAGTGACTAAACTCCATGCTTGAATATTGAAGAAATTAAGTAATAAATCAAACAGCTGCTGGGTATTTTTAGATGTTAACAGGTCATGCAGATTTTACAGACATTATGCGTCAATATATTTTTTCTGAGAATTTACCCTAACAAATTAACCCAAAACATTGCAGAAGGTCATTTCTTATTTAAAGCCAAGCCAAAAGGCCAGGAAGTTTAACTTCAGGTATATTTTTGTTTTTCAGCTTCATTAAGCCCACAGACCACAGTAGAACAAAAGCATTTCAGACCTAAGTAGAGGGCCACAAGCAACAAACAGGAAAGGCTGAAATGCAAGATCCTGTCAGTGGATCTACTGATACTAGTACCGCTAGTAGCAAGGCACCGATCAGGAAGGCAGGTGATCCAAGAACAACACACAGAATGATGAAAATGTCCAAGATTCATCGAAATATTACCTTAGGGATTTTTTTCTGTGAATGCAGACTTGGTGATTGCAAGCTTGGAAGCAAGGACAAATTACCAAACATCTAAAAGAGGGAATTATATGAAAGACTAGTAGACTTCATAAAGATTCTTAAATCACAGGCTCAAGTGTTATGGAAGGCAAAGAAAATTGAAATAACCCCGGACTGTATCTAGCCTGTATGCAGAAAAGGAAAGAAATTTCTTCATGCTCTTTGCAACTAAATATATGCAACATAATATTTGAATTATAGCAATGTTTGCAAGGTAGTGCAGCATATATATGAAGGTAATGAGGAAAATTCAAAATCAGAGACTTAAGGAATCACAGGGTCCAGGGCAGATAGGACTACCGTAACCAGCAGCATAATTATCTCATCCATAGGATTTCTCATAAATATATCATAGAATGCATCTTTTCTTAAGAAGATATCTAACATCATTTTAAAATGTCCAAGAAATGATGAGTTTGTTGTTGACATAATGTTTAATTACCTTCTAAAGTAGGAACTTGTATCTTGTTTCAGAACTGAATTTCGCTAACTCCCATTTCTCAACACTAGATCTCATTATGCCACTGTCAGGAAGGCTGACATCTTGCTATCAGACATCTTTCCGGGGTGTAAGTACCAATCGCAGTGATCAAGGCACCTTTCAGCCGTTCGTCTGACAAGCTGAATAAGTTGAGCTCCTATAGGCCTTGCACTGGGGCGCTTGGTTTCCAACTGCACGCTGTGAAATCTCTCTTCAGAATTTCACCTCTCCATCTGAGTAGGAGAAACAATGCATTTTTTCCAGTGTCCAAACAATCCAGGCGCTAACAAAATTTTCTCCAAAACTCTACTTTGAATGCTAGTAAATAAGAACATTCTTGAATGAGAAAGCTGAAAGAAATGGCAAGCGTAAACAAGAAACAATAAAGGAACAACCATCTATCCCTGTTTTTTAGGTCTAATCCAACTGTCTCTATTCCAGAGTCCTCTGCTCCCTATGGCAAATTTGTGGCCATGGCATAATCCTTTCCCTCCCATGAAACTAGGACTTCTAACAGATAGGCTGTGAACATCTATTAAATAGCTCTGGCCAGGAAGGGCAGACTATCAACTGCTGTGCCAGGAGCTGGCACTTGTTCATTTCTACTGCTGCTGTTACAGGCGTTGTAGCCTCTGGCAGAGAAAGAGGATGAACAGCTGGAAGCCGAAACCTTTTCAGCTGCCTCAGCAACAATTGGTAGCACTATCTGCCAAAGCCACGGTTTGTGACTTTGCCACCTCGGTCTAGTTGAATATACCATACCTTGCAGGCAGAATATCACGAGAAGCTCAGCACGGATTGAGAAATGTCCATGGGATATTCCACTGCCACCTTCTGTAGGAGTAGAGCAAGTTCAGCAGTGGGGACTTTTTAAAAATGCCGCTGCATCATCAAAAATAATGGCTCGTTTCCAAAATATGTCACTCTAAGCATTCATGGAAGGGGTCAGGTGAAAGTTATTTCAAACAGACCTCGTAACAGCTGGAAATTTGTGGTTGATGATTAAAAAAAAATTCCTGCTGCTGTTCATTTCTACTTGAAAGGTTTGAAAAGATTTTCTCTACCTCCTGAGCAGACACTGGGACTATAGTTGCCCTGTTGGCAACTTGAGTGGGCATGACAAGAGTTCTGTGGGGACATTTTCCAGATTACATAAGAAATGAGTAGTTTTATACTTCTTTGTGTTGGTACAGGATGAGGCTTCAGTTCTGACAGTTTTTCTCCATCTAGACCTTCAGATTTTAATCAGGTCTTTTTTATCACATTTCTGTTACTTCTTAACTGCAGCTGAGGGGAGAAAAAGAACAACAACAACAACAACAACAACAAAAAGCTTTGTATACATTTCCAGGAATGGTATTTATCAATTACAGAAGGGTATTTTTGCAATTCTGATTATGAATGTTTACTTTATTCACACATTGAACAAACTATCCTCTTAAACCATACCATCAGGAGGTATAGCGTTTCATACACTCAGATGTCTGAAAGCTGTCTGGAAATGTATTTCGTACTTTGTGATATGGGAACATTTCAATAGGAGGGAGTTTAATTTGTTTTGAAATTTCAGCTCTTGTTCTGCTCAGAAGCTAAAGTTGGAATCCATTAAGATGCATTTTAGTGCAGTTTCTATTCTCATCTTCCTTTTCTCAGTAACTGTGCAATTCACTTAGTACTTCATTACAACCAACAGCAATATGTATACATGGTGCACAACATGAGCCATTTTGTTTTAAAACAGATTGCAGATGAAAGGAAACCATTCATTTCTTGCTTGCTAGCTGTAATTACTAGAGCGCTAATTACTCCAAATCACTGACATCCAGGGTCAATAAGGATGACAACAGGAACATCAAAGACAAGATGCACAGAGGCAATTACAAGTCTCTAAAACCAGGCTATAATATTATTTTATGGCTACTGTTTTTTTCAGTCAATGGTGAAAAATATTCAAGTTTGCTGAATGTTTACTATTATTTCCTTTGCAGTTTGACGGTGAGAACATGTATATGAGTATGACAGAGCCGAGCCAGGACTATGTGCCAGCCAGCCAGGTGGGTTAATTAATCTTCTCTGCCTTGTTTCAAATTGTAATTAAACAAATTCAAAGAGTTGCATTGCAAATGAGTGGCACTATCAGTAACTGCTGCAATCAGGAATAATCATAATTTATAAACAAAGCATTTAAACCTTGTTTCCAGTTAATGAGATAGAGCTGATAAAACACCAGAGTTGGCGTTTGTTGAGAGATACTACCTTGTTTCCTCTCCAGAATGCAAGCAGCTGTTTTGCCAGCATGATCTTTCCTAAACAGTTGTTTTACCTTCAGGAAATAAAGTCTTTACAGGTGCAGGTTATTTGTTTATCTGACTGCAGACAAGTTAATCATTATAAGCTACACATGTCACAAATAGCTTTAATTATCACTGGTAGGCCAGTTGTAGTTGAAGAATTGTATTTTTAACACTAATCGTATGGCTGAGGAATGTTGCTAATATTACACGATTAACAGTAGGTTTAAGGCAATGACTTGGTCTTCTGTAGCTTGCAGCCTGAAAGATTTAATGTGATGTGGATTTTTTTACAGGTATTTTTGAGTCCTTTCCTTTTCAGAGAACCCTACACACTGATATTAGGTGTATATTTAAAAATCTTTAATCTTTCTATGTGAACCCTAAGATACTATAGATTTCTAAAATGAACGATTTTAATTACTTCTTAAAAAGCAAAAATAGTTTTGAAATTTTTGGTTTGTCTACCTGTAGCTACATCTATATGTAAGAAAGAAATTTTCATTTACTTCACATGTTTTGGTCAGTTTAATTCCATGTTAGTAAGTGATGGTGAAAGTGGTACAGTTCAGTAGATTTTGTCAGAAATTGCCCTGAATAATCAGACTTGTGGTCTAGGTCATGTGATATCTCTGGCCCAGCAGGGGCTAGTCTGATATACCTCTTTCTGACAGGACCAGAAGGATTATGAGAAGACCTCTCCTTAGGTGGGAAATGAGTTTGCATGCATAGTAAATGTGTGTAGATGAGCAGGATGTAATTCAGGAATCAACAGCTTTGGAAAGTGGCAGTACATTTAAAGGTAGATGTCTCCAAGAAAGAGGATTCTTCAGGTACACAGGTTCACTGGGGAGCAGGGAAACAGGATGTTGTATGAGGTGAGCTACATTGTTCAATCAAAAAACAATCTTTAAAATGTTCCACCATGTTGCTTCCCAGCCTTCTGTTGAAGTTATTCTGACGTACCTTTAGAGACCGACTGTACTTTGCGTTTAGGATTTGTGCATGATTGAACTTATTCAGCTAAGAACCCTCCAAGATCCAGAGGTAGTTTAGACTAGAACTGTTTGATTAAAAAATGAAAAATTATATTATTAATTTTTCTCTAACCATTAATCCAAAAACTGTACTGACAAGTTTTAGTATTACTATTAGATTAAAGCAGCCTAGTATCATCTCATTTCTGCCTTAAGGGTTTTGAAGTGCAAGGGCTAATTGAATTTGTTTGAAACAGTAGAAATACAAACTCTGTGAATGATTGCTGTTATAAGGCAGCTGCTACCTTTTGGAGAATCATTATGTCTGTCTTAAGTAGTTTTGAATAAAGAATTGCAAATCCACATTATACATCAGAATTATTTTTCTTCTGTTGATATTTTTGTACTGTGTATGCATGTAGTTTAAATAATTTAAATGGCATATTGAAAAATTAAGAGTATAAGTTTTAATCTTTTATGCGGTTTCTACATGTGCTAACAAGGCCCAGATCCTCAGAGATATTTATGCATCTAACACTCACTGGCTTCAGTGGAAGTAAGGTGCTTAAAGTACCTTTAAAGAGCCAGGCCTCGATATTTTAAATGCAAATGATTTTGTCTTCAAGGAAAAAATCTATCAAATGTGACATTTCCAAATTCAAAGATGACAGAAAACCCTGAATGCTTACTAAGGGCTGGAACCAAGAAAGAGCTTACAGACTTAAAATCTCGCTATGGCAAAGCTGAGTTCTTGGGTATCTGGCTTCCGGGTGGAGTTGAAACCCAGAGGCAGGTGTCAAAGCTCTGTCCTTTGCTGGGGGATCGATGTGGCAAGAGGTAGCTCAACTGCCAGGTGCAGCATTTGAAGCTATTGCCAAACACACATCAGTCAAACAGCTTCCCATGCCTGTCTGAGAGAAGCCATCAGCCTTGGGCTGTCCCACCCTCCTTTCCCTTACTGTGATTGTCTCCTGGTGCTTATACCATTGCAGACGGTTTTTAGGTGAATATATATGAAAGCTTGTAATAATAGCTAAACTGAAAAATGGGAGACAAAAAAAGCACACTAGGAGCAGGAAGCTGGGGGTGTGTTGGAAATCCTGCCTCTCTCTTGTTTAGGGAAGGACTGGGACTGCAAGAGAAGCCTTCCTGAACCTGTTCCTGATGTAGATTGCTGCTAGCCGTTCCTCAGAGGAACTAAGCAGCTCTCTGTTGACAGTATTGGCAAGGTCTTCACTGACTGTAGTGGGGCTCTGTTCCTATCTCAGGGGTAAACGTTTGGTGGTCAACCAAAATTGGTGAACTGACTACCCCTTCATCATCCAATCTGCTTATTGAAACTGGACAGAATACAACATTCACCCCTCTGAAAATAAAGCATGCCAGATTGAGAAGCTTACTGGGGAGGGAAAGGAAGAAGAAAGGATGTGGCTGTATTTTCTGGTCCCTGTTTTCAGGACTGTTTGTTCATTTTCCACTTGCTGCTACTGGATATAAAACTAATAATCCTGTAAGAAGAGATGAGAAAATGTTCTTTCCCAGATGAAAGTCTAGTCACTTAATACATTGAGTTTTCTCCTGTGTCCGTTTTGCATCTGTCCTCACAAGCCTTGCAGTTGCATGACTTCTAGGAGAGGAGTGCAGGCTCCTTCCCATCCCCAAGAACTTGGTTGCTCCCTTGCAGGATCACATATGAGGTTTTGAGTCCTGTTAGAACGAGGAGCGAATTCATTTCTCCGCTTTCCTTGATGGATGCACATCTGTTAACTAAAATATGAATCCTGCATGTTAGGAGATGCACGGTCCTATCAGAAAGTTTATTTGAGCTCTAATCATGCTGACTGAGTCAGACACGAGCATCATTTTCTAATTTCAGAGTCAGACACAGCTTATTTGGGAGGTAGGTTGGCAGACTGGATATACAACACCAAAGACTGAGGGGTTTCCACTAGGCTGTCTTCAGGATGATGTGACTATAGAGGCAGGATTTTTGGGGTCCTGATGCATGCTCACGTGCTCACATCCTTGCTTTAGATCTATCCCTGAGAAGTTAGTTTTGCTTGTTTTGCCTTTTTCCTCTAACTTTTCCTAGAATCTAGCGTTTCAAGAAATTGGGGGGCTATAAAATAAACTGTTGCAGAAGAAAATAAAATTTAGATGTCAGAAAGGTTTCAATTGCCCTGAAAAAGCTGAAATTGCACTTTAGTTTTTCCTGTTTACTGCAAAGTGTTCATATCCAGAAAAACATCACCTTGTATTATTTTAAGGGTTTTAATCAATTTATCCCCTTTAGGCTAACATAAATAAAAGCTCAGCCGTTGGACAGGAAAAATATAGTTTTGTTCCTTTTGCTATATAACATCAAACATCTGCATAGCTTGGTAATCCAAGACAAGTTGCCTCTCAGCATCCCTCAACAATTATCATTTCTGTTCAATTTTCAAATCAGTACATGCTTTGGGACTTATAGACTAAGTTGCTAAGTAGCAACATATGGCTCACTACTGTTCCTGTGATGTTGCTGCAAGCAAATAGCATAATTCTATACTTGAAACGATTTTTACAGAAAGGCAGTGCTGGAACTGAGCCAGAAGTGTAAGTATACAGTAAAAATTAATGATATTCTTTTAGACTGTCCCAAAAGGCTGTTTGGCAATGTTGTCTCTGTGTACATTTTATATATACATGTAAGTACTGTATTTTTGGTTATGATATATGTAGTACGGGACTCTGTACTGCAGGCATCTCTTAAATGAGTTATGCCAGCCATATTAATGAACATACATAGTAAAACTACATGACATTTTCACTACTAATTGCACTTCAATCTGAAAATATTTATCATTTTAAAATAAAACTATGCCAACTGCTCTGCATTTCAAATTCTCACAAATATATTGTTTTCTCCCCACACCTATAATTGGAATCTTGGAGATGAATTGTTCTTCATGTAATTCCTCCTCCTGTAATTTGTGGGCTACGCACAGCACAGTATAAAATTATATTGTTTATTTTACATTTCCTCCTAGTCACAATACAGAATGTAATTCAGGACTCTGTTGCATAGAGTATTGCACACTTTTTTGGCCTTCTTGAGGCCTGATAAATGTTAAGGGTAATGAATGCAGCTGCCAAATCCCCTGCACCATCCAAAGGGAAGGGAGGAGAACTGGTCTGGAGCCGATGGTTTGGGGCAATAATCCCATTGCCCCAGTGGGAAGAAAAGAGATACCTGAGGTAGAGGAAGGAATGCTGCTTGCACAGAGATGGTGTTTTCCTCCCTCCCAGAGCTGTGTCAGGGGAATCTGTAAAAGATACGTGTGCGTGTTCTTTGTTACAGTGGGCACCATGGATGTCAAAACTGTTTTGTCCTCTGTAGCTCCAGGGTAAAATGGGATAGAATGATATCCAACAGAGAGATTTTTCCTGTTATTATGAAAGTAAAGGGTTCCCCTGCCTTTTGTTGCCATATGCACGTGGTCATAGATATATCCCTAACTTCTCATTTCATGTTTATACCCTAATTTCTTAGAGTATTAATGGGACAGCCATTACTCCTGTGAAATGGGATAAATGCTACATAATAGTTGCTCCTCCTTGCTCTGTATTTGTCTTTCCCTGTAGGTAGACTAGACTTTCAGGGTACTGTATCCCATTCCTGCCAGAAGATATAGCTCTTCTCTCTTGTTGTTTTTCTAAAGCCAGTGTCAGCAGAGCAAAGCAGAAGTTGGCTGCCTTGGAAAGGATTCAGGAAAAGCAGTATTCTTAGATGGAGAATCCCTCGGT